GTTCCTTGTTGAGTTGCGCTGGTGCAGATATATAGAAGATATTCTCCTGTCCTTGCCCTTCCTTTCTTTTGGTGCCCTTGCCTTACTCTCCATGCTTGCCCTTTCCTTGCCTTGCCTTGCCTTTCCTTTCCTTCCCTTCCCTTCCCTTTCCTTTCCTTCATCTTCTATTTGAACTGCGTCGGCATTTCTTTGCTGTATTTTCCACTGCTGACATTCCTTTTCACAATTCTTCCAATGTTGTTTTCTGTCCTTGTTCCTTGCTCTTTTCTTTTTATTCGTTTCCTGCTGTTTTTTTCTTGTTTTCGCTCCGCCTGCTGTTTTGACTTTTTGAATCGACTGTTCTCTTTAGAAGATATTGATCTATATTAACTTCTCTGTTTTGAGATGTGTTCAACCCCTTTCCTCCTTCTCTCTCCTCCTCTCTTTTCGTGCTCTCCATTCCTCGTTTCTTCTACCCCTATCCCCCATTCCTTTTGTACATTGCTCTCCTCCACTCCTTTCCTTCCCCCCTTGCTGTCCATTTCCTATTCCCCTTCCGCTCTCCTTTCCCTTTCCATTCCTGTCCTCTTTCCGTATCTTCTGGGAGAATTCTGCGGGCACAGTGGAAATATATAGATTGAATGTGTTGTGGTATTTGCAGCCTTTGTTCTGCTTCTATATATATATATATAAATAGATAGCGCGTTATTCTTGTCCCTTTCACTTTCCTTTCCCCCTTCCGCTTTCTTTTCCTCTTTGTTTCTTAATTATCCTCTGTTTGACCTAGGGTGGTGCTCAGAGGAGATAGCAATCTGATCTACTGTATTTTTCTTCCCAACCAGGTTGGTTGTTTTTGTTTAAAATTAGGCGACTAATCTTCTATGTGGACCTGACCCGGAATCACCCCAAACATGAGGGTCTTCTATTTGGACAAATATCGTATTATCTTCTATAATAGTGCACCGTACTATAGATGCTGATAGCTTTTGTGCATATGAGTGAAAGAATGTGAAGAATTGTTTAAGGAAATGGGAATCCAGAACATTTGCTCCCAAACTCTGCAGAATCGCAGAATCACTGCGCAGCTTAGGCTTCCAATGGGTAGTGACATGTGCTCTGCTGGATCCTCAGTATCACAGAACGAGGTCCGTCCCGTCGAGTGCCGTCTTCCTTTTAGAAATCCCGGGTTCAGGCATTGGCCAACCCCTTCGTGCTGAAGTCCGGCTGGACACCCAACTTCGCTGCCTCGTGGGCCTGGTTGGGAGAGGCAGCCCACTTGGCACGTGCCAACTCTTCACGCCTGGCACGAGGCCGAATCTTCGTTTGCGGATTCATCAATGCAGCCTATGGCTTCTGGGCCATTGCCCGCATGCCCAGCAGAGCGCTCCTTCATTTCTTGTCTTGGGCTGCTGTTCTGCTGTTCTTCACGGAGTGTTCAGATGACCCTGAGGTTTTGTTATTCTTCGAAATTCAGATGGTCCAGAAGGCATGTGGAGCCGAACAGTTTTCTGCATGCAAAAGCTTTGTACCCTTGTGAAACAGTACCTCCACCCGGATCGGGTGATTGGGTGCAGGTCCACCTCCAAGCGCAAGCGGTGGAACAGGGCGAGCACACAGAGTTGTCCAGGACCCAGGGGAGGTCTGCCTCTGACATTCGCTGCCAAGCTGTTCTTGACGTCTCAGGTTGCGATACGAAAGGAAGTCGGCAGACCAAACGTACAGATTTGCCGGGTAGCCGCGATAGCCTTTGGAACGGACCTTCGGAGAGTTTGTCTTGGCCAAAGTGCTTCTTTGCATGGCGTCAAATGTTCCAACTTGTCTTCACTGGCCTCACTGAAACGCAGTCACATGTTCTCTTTGTTGAAGAATCATGGGAAGGTGAGGTGCATGCTGGAAGACCTTGTTTCTCTGTAGATACTCTTTTTCTCCTGTATTTTTAAGGGTGTTTTCTTTGATGCTTGCTCTATAGAGGGTCAAATCTGGAGGCTGTGACCGGCGTGTTGCTTTTGGTACAAGTCAGCAGATAGTGCCTTGACCCTTAAAGGGTTCGTAGACACTAGTTGAGAAGGAGTGTGCCTTGAACTCACGATGACAGTGGAAGAGGCGATTTGACTTCCTTTCTTATTCCTTTATTCTTGAGTCAGCCAAATTTGCTGTTGGTGCGGTGGTAGGCAAACTCGCTTACAACATGGTTTTCTTCTCTTGTTGGTATCTTGCCTGCAAGTAAACTGTGAGGGCTAGTTATGTCCAGTCATCCATCTTCTAAGGCAGTTCTACATCTTCTGGCTCAAAGCTTCCTGAGCAAAAGGTGGCCCTTGGACCAGCCATTGCTTTGCACTCTCTGGCAGTTAAAAGACCAACTGGCCGGGTACCTTGTGTGTATTGCAGGCCGTTGATGCAGACGAAGACAAGTGGGACCGTGAGCGTGCATTCGACATTGCAGACAGCCTTGAAAATGTGATCCACTCAGCATCCGTTGCTTTCCGCTTTCACGGACCGCAGACATCCGATGACCGAGTTGACGTCGGGATACGTCGAAGACGACGTGCGCGTCTCAGGGCTTGGCCCGGGAAATCGTGACAGAGCAGGGACCCCCATGGAGCTCCCTTTGGGAGCTCCCTTTCGGAGATCAAACAGTCCAAGTGTTGGTGTAATGAGAGAAGCTGGAAAAGATTGCAATGGAAAAATGCCATGCGGCCATGCTGCCTCTTCTGCACCAGGAAAGCAAGCACGAGCAAGCGTTCAGCGTTTTGCGCGGTTGAACCTCCTGAGGTTTATGCATCCATTGCGCAGAGCCAGCAAGCTCTGGAAGTTCCATGTGATTCGATCTGAGGAGCCGAGTTCATGTGCTCGATGGATGGCAGATCTGCCAGCAGACCGTGTCTCTCCCGCGTGGCGTGTTGGTCAGTCCTGAAGAGTTTGTAACAGATTTAGCTGGCTCGGCATGAACGGATAGGCTAGTAAGTATTTCAGGCCATGTGTGTTTTCCTCTACTTTCTCTTTACTTGCCAAAGCTGCTTCTTATCTCAAGAGATGGCACAACGTGAGTCAACTGAACACTTAATGAACGGATAGGCTAGTAAGTATTTCAGGCCATGTGTGTTTTCCTCTACTTTCTCTTTACTTGCCAAAGCTGCTTCTTATCTCAAGAGATGGCACAACGTGAGTCAACTGAACACTGTTTTAAGCTGCATACTCTCGAACAGAAGCAATCAAAGCACTCTTACGCCTTTGCTAGACAAAGATACTTTTGTCGTTGGTTTCCGAGCTGCAGTGATCCACACGACATAGCAATAGTACCGTAGTACCCTTCACTTGTTGCAATTTTCAACGCAACGCCCTACAAAGTTCACTTCCTCCAATGTCACCACCGGATGCAAAGATCTTTGCCGCAGTCCCAACACAAAAGGTTTGGTTTTTCACAGAACCGCCCGACAACTTGCCGAGGTCCGAAACTTGCCGTCCGACATCAAAGAAAAGGAGGCGGTTTGGCACTGCAACGCATGAGTCGTAGGGTGCCTGTCATGGGTTCAACTGCTGGCTGCTTTTGACTTGGGATAAAGATGATTGCACCTATTTAAAGGAGAACATGCCAGCAGGTGAAGTACATTTTCAGCAAGTATGGCGCGGTGCGCAGTGCTGATGTGCCCACCTCATGATATGACTATATGAGTTTCGAGAGAGTTAATGAATCGAGAGACCATCGCGCCTGATTGTGGGCACCATGGATTTGACTTGCTCTGCAGGTCATCATGTGGCCTGGCTTGCCATCACTTTGTGGGGGCTTGAGCTGCATTTTGTGTGCTCCGGAAATGTGTTGCTGGAGATCGTCGCGTTCCAAGGCCCAAATGGCAGTCTTGCCCCGCTGGAGATCTCGCTTGCGAATCGCTACTTGTCACTAATCTATGATGGACATTGTCAAGGAATCTCTGGTTTAAGCTCTGCGTCCTCTAGGGTTCGACACCTTGTGTTGTTGCACCTGATGAACCACGGCCTCAACTGGCAGGCCAGAAGATAGACTGGCAGGCCAGGATCCTGGCAGAACGGACTTGCGACTTCCAACTTTCAACGGACTTGCAGTTTGGAAAGGCAGTTGGCAGACAGCTTAGCACTGAGGCATGCGCCTTTATCACTTACAGTACGGTGCGCAAGCTCGTTGGCTGGCGCATATACCTGATGGCTTGTCTTGTGCACCCGTGATCTTGCAATCACAGGCAACATGTCTACCTCTATACAATGGATTGTGATGTACGATGGAATAGACATGTTACCATGGATTTCTTGCCAATATACCATGGACTTTACCGATTGAGATCCCAATTGGATGAACCGATTCTGACCACTGGCATGGCCCATCCTGGCGCGGCCGCTTTTCGCGCCAGGCCGATGCGGCGGCCGTGGCCATCCGTGCGCTGAACGGCGTCTATCGACCCCGTTCCTCGACTCCACTGGGGCCGACTGAGTCACGTGGGATGTCGGTGTCCGTCGTGTGACTCAGTCACGGTGACTCGACTCGACTTCAAGTACAAGAGCTCGAATTGCTGAAAGAAGGAAGTTCGAACTTCTCCGATTTTTTGGGTTTTCTCATAAGAAGGATGCGTGAGATGGAGCTTCATGGTACTTCATGGTTCCTTTGTTTCTCCAAGGCGGGATGTTGAGGATTGCCGAAACCTCGCTGCTTCGGTGCGTCCTTCGGTGCGTCCTGACTCTCATTGTTCGACCGATCTGACCGTCTCCTGCTTCTCACTCTTCCTCTGGCTATCCTCATGTGCGTATACCTGGGGAGTATCAGCTTCATCCTCTCCTCATCAATGTTTTTCTTGTCAGCGGAATCCTTTTTCGACCAGTTCAGTGTTGGAAGTGGGAAGAACTTCTGTAGGCCACCGGCTGCACCAGGCACTACCTTTTGCCTCCCCTTGCTCAAGGTCTTGCTAACCCACACAGCCCAACTGAAAACAGAGAGCAGGGTTACCAGCACTATCTCATCATACCCCTGCGCAACCGATGATGTTCTTGCCTGGTGAAAGCACCAAATTGAAGGTAACCACCCATCGAGTTTGCCCTTTGGCTTTGGCAAAGCTTCACGAAACTTGTAAAGCAACTTCCAAGTCTTGCGGACTTTTTTTCCAACTTGCTATGACACACTCGAGCTCATTTTGGCCAGTGACGCTTTCTTGAATGAGAAAGATGTATCATTTCGGGTGCGACTTGCTATCAACTTTCTGTGGTCAATGACTTCCATCTTGTGTTCGCTTCGCTCGTGTTAGCTAACACTTCATTCGGCGTGTTCGCGTTGTCCTTAGCTAGGTAGCTCCTCCCCGGAACCTTTGGTGGTCACAGCCTCAAGAGTGCTTTCAACACCTGCAACACGTGGCCACAACTATGTCTACCTATGTTGACTACTCTCCAGCTATCCGCTGCCCATTGACAGTTGACCAACACGTGTCTCCTAGCACAGACAAGTTGACGCTTTTGACCTTAGTGCCACCCAGGTCATGCTCGCGAGACCTGGCGCGTTGCCAGATCCAGTTCAGCACGTGGCCGAAGTGAGAAGAAGTGGTGCCGAAGGCACACCTAGCACGCACTCGAGGTCTGGTTTGATGCCTCCACCTGCAGAGGATCAGGTGAGCTGCGAGTTTTGGGCCAATCTCTACATGCGACGGTAGGATGTGGGAGGTAAGATGACCAGGACTCATCCTTTCTTTTGCATAGGTTGCGCTCTTGATTGGAGCAGATAAGGCGTGAATTGGAAAAGCAGACAGACTAGCGGCATCATGGCATATGGAAGTGGAGAGGTTTGCATTGCAACATTGTGTGTGAGGGCGGCAATTTCTCGAGCAGCACAGCTCAAATGGTGATGACCTTACTTGCAACGATCTTCAATCTAAACTTGGCTCTCTCTCTCTCTCTCTGACTGGTGCTGAGGCATCCGCAACAGCTTCATATGTTGCAGAAAAGACTCGCTGCCTGGGACCCAGACATCGGACACCACCGATGTCGGACAGACAGAGAACACGTTTCCGTCGACCATCGATCCCGGAGACGGTGCTCGGTGCTCTGCGTCGATGCGAGATGCTGCGATGCGGAGATCTGCGACACCGGTGTCGTCCGAGGCAAACTCTTTGTGGGCAATTTGCATGCGGAGATCCCGCGGGAACGGTGTTTTGGCGTGGAAAGACGACGGTGTTCTTTTGGTGTCCTTTACATGAGCGAGGTTAGTGTCCTTTGAAATGAGAAGCGATGGCAGTTCTGGTCTGAAACCGCGGTTCTGGCCTGAAGCACGTTTGGGTGCCTATACAACTATACAACCTTGAACTATGAAGACATTTGAAGACATGTTCATTGCAATCGCACAGGGGGCCATGCTAATTCTCCGGACCCAGTTCACCCAGTTGATCCAGCTGACTCAGTTGACCCCAACAAGCTACCACTACTGCTGCTACTGCTGCTGCTCCTACTCCTACTCCTACTCCTACTCCTACTACTACTACTACTACTACTACTACTACTTCTACTTCTATACTTCTACTTCTACTTCTACTTCTACTAGTATTCCATTTCAAGACAAGACACATTCACATGAAATAAAAGGTTAAATTGAAGACCCATGGCGACGACTACTACTTGAAGACCCATGGCGACGACTACTACTGGGCATGTTCGATCAAAGATGGATCCCTACTAGTGCTAGGTATAAATGAGGCAATCTGAATGGTAAAAAGCAATCTCAACACAGGGGGTCCAGTATTGACCTTGGTTGGGACCCTTTCCTCAAACGAGTCGAGAACTGACTGGACCCCAAGAGGAGACCTGTGTGCACACAACATTCACATGTGGCAGAAATGATCCAAAATCATCCAAAGATGTACTGTATCTCGTATCTCGCAGTTAAGATGCTTTGGTTATGATCTACACACACGCACACACACGTCTAATTTTTGGACATATCCAGGCGGAAGGTCCCTTTTTGCCATCTCATCAGCAAATCTATTCTTGCGATATGAAGTCGTTCTCAGACGTACGATGTTGGCCGGCACACGGGTCACCTGTTTAGATCTGGGGAGTGCTCAACCTGTCACAGGTCCAATTGACCCAGTTGACCCCGAGGCACTGGCTCCACCCGAACCAATGGTCCCAGTTGATCCACTTGACCCAGTTGATCCAGTTGCCCTCACACAAAGTCAACTGGGTCAACTGGATCAACTGGGTCAAGTGGATCAACTGGGTCAACTGGAACACCCTGTTCAAGTGGGCCAACTGGGTCCACTGGGACCACCGATTGACCGGCGGTGCCGACGCACTCGACATGTTACTTGTTGGCTTCCTCGACGCTTGAGGCTCAGTCAGGTCTTTGGAGAGTGCGGCAGAGTCGTCAATGTGCACGTGAACTTCTTGGATTCCTCGGGCAGTTTTCATTGCTCTTTGACAACACGTTTCGCTGTTTTCTTGAATGCAGCTGAAGGTAATGACAGGAAAATCCAAGTTTGGCAGCGCGTGTGCTTTTGTGGAAATGGTTTCTTGCCTGCAATCTGCTTTGGAGTTGTAATGCACACATTTTGCAAGAAGTTGCGAAGACATTAGTTTGTTTTCTATTTGAGGGAGTGGAAGCCACAGCATCAAGCTTCAGCGTGTGAGAACAAGACTACACACAAACCTCACTGTCTGAAAGAGTTGAAGGTGATAAATAGTCAATTGTCTTCTGATACTTTTTTCGGAAGTGCACGCTGCTTGTCGCCCAAGGCTACTCCAGCAGAAGCCGAAAGTGCTTTGAAGGTGGCTTGGGGAATACTTGCCAACGGCGCCTGTTTTGTTTTCCCTTACCAGCTTGGTGTTTCTTCATTTCATGCCAACATCTGCACACATGATTCAAATTCGGACTTGTCTTGCAGTCTTGCTGTCAAACTTTCTGCCTGGCTGCGGATTAATGTGCTGTGAAGCCTTTCGTGATTTCGCGTGATGTTTTTTCTTGACCTTGACACGTTGTGAGCTGGACCTTGCTCACCAGGCGCTTCATCAGAAATACGAGCCCAGGCGCAGAACGTTCACCTCTTCAAATGGCCCAAAACCCTAAACCCCCACCAGCTTGCCTGGCACCGTTGGTTTGTTTTTCGCTCGCTTCTCGCGCAAAGCAACGCACTGGCACCGGGCCGCCCGCAGGATCGGGTCCATGACGGCGCCGGTGACGGTGACCTATTTTCAGCGACGCAGACGGCATGGAGTTGGCGTGCGTTTTTTTCTTCTTTTAACGTATTTGTACTTTATTGCTATTATTGTTGTTACTATTATTATTATATAGTTATTCTTATGTCTATTCTATTACTGTTACTATTCCTTGTTTAAAGGGGGGTTGGCCGCTTGTGGCTAGTAGCTAGGTAGCTAGTACCTGCAAGTAGCTACTACTGACAGGACGCACGATAGCGCTCGCACTAATGATTTGGTTCCTTGTTTTTGGGGAAACTTAAGGTTGGAGGCCATCGCTAGTAGGTTGGAGGCCAAAGGATGGAGCGCGTTTTTCAGGTCTCAAAGCAGTGGCAAAGCTGCCTGAGTCTCAGTGGATGGTTGTGACATGTTGTGATTTCCTCCTTGGCTTCATCCGCAGATGAGAGGTCGGGTTTGGGAATTTGTTTCGCAGCCCTTCGGCTTGGTGCGTTGTTTTGTTCGGGCAGACATATAGAGTAAGTGCAGTGCATCTTGCAGGCTCAGACGCTGGCAGGACCCGCTGCTGGCTTTTCAAGTGGAGGCTTTTCCAGGTACACTCCGTGAATTCCTTAGCAGACACCCCCTTTTCAGATGCAAATTCACATTTTTCCTGAGTATTGGAGTTTTTGGAGTGAAAGCTCCGCTAATACTGGGCCTCTTCCTCAAGTTCCTCGAGTTTTGCTCACTTAGGTACCAGGTCTGATAGCTGCGGTTTCACGCAAAGGATCATGGATGGCTGCGCTCGCTCTATGGGTTGCTGTGAGCTCCTTTGAGGTCGTCTCCATGCAGCTCTGAGAAAAGCAGCCCGAACACTTTGCACTCATCTCCGTGTGTCACGACCAAACTGTTGTGATTCTGTGCTCTTGTCGCCGTGACTGCTCCAAACATGACGGGCAGATACGCTCATCAAAGAGTGCATCATTACTCAAATGTACACAAACACATGCACGCCGGGCCCATGGTCTTATGGGTATCTAGAAACACCAACATGCGTTTGTTGTGCACACTGTTTGATCTGAAGACCTTCTAAGCCGTTTTTGTTGCTTGAATGTAGTACACCGGAGGCCGACGCATGGTGGGCCTTCGCCATGGAAATCCAGCGACACAGAGGTCGACGCAGGAGCGTGCCACAGTTCGGGAAGACACTTCGTGCCACAGTTGGGAGAGTTTTTGACACTGGGTCTTTGACCAGCTAAGGTGAGTTGCTTGATTTTTATACAGTACCTTTTTGCAGTACTGCACTTGACTCGATCCCCTTGTCCGAAGCTGGTTGCATGTTGGTCGAACAGTTTTGCTGAGTTGGAACAAAAGCAGAACAGTCCCTTTACATCGGAAGACTCTGGAATCAGAACAATAAAAATTGATAGCTCTTGGAATCACAGCAGTGAGATCGCCCAAATCCTCCAAAACCGCCACAAAGGACGGACAAGGACCGCCGCCCAAACTCCTCGGGACCGAGTAAACTCCTCCTCGTCGTTTCCCCGACTCGGACGTCGACCTCGGTGAGGACCTGGAACTTCCGACCTTTGGCTCGTTTAGCTGCTCGAGTCTGCGGTGCATGTGCAGGACACCCCCGCCACCCCGCTCCGTCGAGCGACCGAAGCCGGAGACCGGCTTGCCGGACCGGAGGGGTTGGATCCTCATGTTCGCTCCGAGGGTCTCTATTTTTGGTGTGTGACCAAGCGAAGCGCTCAGGCGCTGGACCTTACAGCTCAGCTCGTTTGGATGTTTTTAGTCCTTCTTTTGCGCCATTTCACTGTTTGCAGGATGCGTTACAGCTTGTTCTCCTGCCATTGAACCGCTTCCGAAAAAGGCGACTGAGCTTGTTACAAACTCTGTGGCGAATGTTTGTGGCAAGGTCAAGTTACAGTCTTTTTTGCCTTTCTTTGCGTTGCTGCACTCATGTCACTTCGCACCGGGAGAGTTAGGTGCTCAGTTCAGAGCCAAAGGAGATCAGCGAGTTATGGCCAGGTGAGGAGCTTTTGAATGATGTGCCATGGCAGTTGGGGGGACGGTCTGTCCTTTTTCGGTGGCTCTTTTGGTCCTACGTTGTGGGTTAAAAGAAAGTTCACAGCCCCCAAGAAAGAGGCCCTACAGGTTTTTGTTCTGCTTGCCCTTTCAAGCGCTTTGCACGCCGCCCATTGTTGGGCTATAGACTCTTACTATCTTGCGTTTCAACAACCTCAGATATGCCCCTTCTTTGGACAGGAAGGCTTGCACTAAATATGATTTTTTTTGTGTAGTGGAAAAGGGAGAGCCCGAAGAGTGGAAAAAGGGAAAATAGACCAACAAGACCAACAACCATTCGTTGAGGGTCTCCTTTTCACTAGATAGATCGGCTCTCATAGCTCTCGGCTCGTGACGGTGAGCGGGTTCCCACGAACAGAGACGAGTCGGGAGAACCGCCGCTCAGGTGATCCAGAGACTTTGGCCTTCGATCTCTGAATGGTTTCAGAGGAAGCTAAAGGCCGCCTGATCGTGCAGAAGCAGTGAAGGATGATCGTGCAGAGAAATGAGCATGGCCAAGAAGCAAGATGGGCTGGTATATGCGTTCAGTTTCGTAGGCCGAGTTGGAACCAGAGCTCAAGAAGCAGCTGCTGGACATCGTGGAGTTTGAGGCAACGATTTTTGCTGCCAGAAATGGTGCAACGGTGCACAGATTGGGCTCGGACCCGAGGATATTGGTCTGGGCTCAACACCTATGCGCTTAGAGGGGATTACTTCTTCCATGAGCTCCGAGGAGTGTCCTGTGAGCTCCGAGGAGGTTAGTGTCTCAAGTGAGTTGACACTGCAGGAATGGGGAACCGATGTCTTCAAGTCCATCAAATGTGTTGCCGATCTGGAATCTGGGCAAAACATTCACCACTGCAGACGGACAGCAACACAGGAAGTCCAAGAGTGCAGTGATTTCTTTTGCTCAGGACTACTCTGGTGATGGTCAAATCACTGTGGGTATCCGAGCAGGAGGAGGCAGGAGACCTTCTGGTTCTTTGGAATTATTTTTGTCTTGTTTGCAGGACATTCTATGGAATATTCAAACAATATCTTTCTCCTGACTAAATCCGCAGCACAGATCAGAGACAGATGTAAAGGTATACTCAACGTAAAGCCACCCTAACACAACAGAGGAGTTGACATATTTCCTCAGCAAACCTGGCATGGGGCCTGCCTTCCATTTTTTTAGAACTATTCTTTTTTATTCCGCAACAAACACTGTAGCTTTCTTGTCTGGTCTTGTCTTAAGATTCCCCCTTTTCCAGCTTGTCAGTGCCGAACTCCTTCTTTGCCCACCGCTCAAGCTCCGAGGGGGTGCAGTGGGCCATGTTGCACTTACCAAGCTCAAGCTCCGAGGAAAGATCGCATTGCACTTAAAAAAAGGATGGTGCGGGCGATAGGGTTGTGACCAAAAAGCTGTCCCGGCTCGGAGGTTGTTGAGCTCGCCCACCTGACCCATTTACCGCCTTGGTTCAGCGGCATTCGCATCTATTTTCCTGACATGCCTGAGGCGCGGTCTGTTTGGTTTAAGAAGATGTTCGACTGCGGGGGGCGTTTGATGTCGTAAACGCCAAACTTTGTCTCGGTACCAGGTTGATTTGACGATCGATGCGAAAGTCTTTGTGCTGGATGCTTTCTGTGACACAGCTTCCTTGGTCAAGACCAGGGTGCTGAAGGCCCGGGGCCGAGAGATTGGTCACCCTCTGTGCTTCCAACGTCTGTGGAGCCTGGTCATCCTCAGTTTCTGGCCATCGACGCAGAGGGAAGGCCTCTCTTTTCTGTCATGGCAGGTTCTGCGAGAAGCCGTCGCCAATGCCTGTGTTCTACCATCCCGTTTGGTGCTGGAAACAACCACAGGCTCGAGGTGAAACGAACTGATGGAACGGGTATTTCGTGTGGTCGGTCGTGCGCCTTGGGGACGGGCCATCGGGTGTATGCACTGTTTTCGGTCGTATGCACGGTTGTTGGTGATAGATGGCACCGGGGCACCGAAGAAGGACCGGCGTATTAGCTGCAATGAAACAGGCTGCAGCGATGAACAAACAGCCCAGGATTTGACCATTTGTAACCCTGGACCACCGCTTCCACACATGAATAGAAACGAAAGAATGTGACCTCACTGTCCGAAATGAGCGAGCGAGTGAGTGAGCAAGCGAGAGACACATGAACAGACATCTTCAAGTTTCAAGTTCCAAGTCAGCGGACAGTGCGGACAGAGCGTACACAGGGGGAATGGAGTTTGGCTTTCGTGCGATCCTGAAAACGCACCCACCACTCGTGTCAGGGCCACTCGTGCCAGGTGTGGACCACTTCCGCCTGCATCACCCACGACCCCGCGGCGTCCTGCGCACGCAGCTCGAGGCGGCTCGCGCCGACGCACGTCGACCGCTCGACCACAAGGAACCGCGACCGCTCGACCGCTCAGGTGCAGTCGTCCGCGGAGGCAGAGCTGCGGGAGGAAGCCCCTGCTGTGGCTCGGCCGCGAGAGAGATCTAGACGAGCCGAGATTTGCGAGAGAGAGAGAGAGAGAGAGAGAGAATGCTGGGGCCTGTCATTTCTCACAGAAGACGATTAACGTATTTACCTCTTTTTGCAAAATGGTGGTCACACTCTCATCTGTCTGGGCCTACTTTAAGTCCTAAAGTTAGGCGTGTCTTTCTTTTTAAAAACAAAAGTCCTTTCTGAACGCAGATTTCGTGGCGCCTGCCAGGAATCAAGATACCCCTACCTGAATGCCCTCAACTCATGGCTCTTTGACTCTTCTCGTCCGACCAGCTTAACGTCCATCCAGGCCACAGAGGGAGGGAGGCAACCTCCGTACCACCGGATCCGAGGAGGAGTCAATCACCCCGAGCCCGGTCGGGCGATTCCCCACAGAACGGACCTTCAAGGATTCTGTGGCTTTTTTGGGTCCCGAGACTTCAGTCACCGTCACAGCAGTCTGCAAATATCTGCAGTCTGATATCTTTGGACAGGTAGCACTGGGAGCTTGTACCCGCAACTGTGCCTCTGGCGATGTCTTGGACTTTGTCGTGGATGATTTGGACCAGCAGCCCATGCCTCAGCTCAGCTGATGTGGGTGTGGAAACGCATCACTCGACCAGCAGCCAGGTGCCTGAGTATTTTCGTCAACTCCAGCTTCTTGGTACAACTTGGTTTACAAGACTTCATGGCATCTCTGAAATGGCATGTGTGGGGATCTATTTTCAAGACAAGCTGTAAAAGGGATCATAGGTAAAGAATGGTAAAGATTGATTGATTTTTGTCATGAGCTTCTATTTCTATGGTTTGCAGAATGGACAAGAAGAATCACAGTGGACGCAAAACAGAGTCGGTTAATGTGATGAATGGTTTCAGCTAAGCTTCGCTTCAGCCGCCAAGGTGATACCCCTTTGGTGATCATCTCTTTGAAAGATGCACTTGAGGGACGTCATCCAGGTTTCTCTGACGAGGAGGTTCAGCACTGAAGAATCCATCTGATGCGACTTGATTGTTTTGTGCAAGGCGTTTCAAATGCCCCAGCAAGCTTTGACAGGCACAAGTCCTCCAACTTCCCTTGAGCTTTGGCTCTGCCACAGGCAGCTTGAAGATCCAGTGGTCGTTGACCTAAGCACGGCAACCTTGAATCCAAGCTTTCAATGAAGGAACGAAGGAAGCGGCCCATTTTTTATGTCCACTTCATGGCTGAAAGTTGTTTGCACAGGTACA